GGATAAGATGCCTGCCCGATAAAGAGATCCAGGTTCGATTCCTGGCTGAGATGATATTTTTCGCAAAAATAATTACAGATTTTTACTGATTCGTAGTCGGGCCTCGTTGTGGCACACGCTCTCTTTTCTTATCCTCTTTTTATAAAACTAAGATCACCAAATATAATTATTAAGATAATAAAATGGAATTTTGTAGAATATTTCCCCTCGATGTTCAGACTTTATATTTTTAAGGATTCGCATCGATGGTAACGTGTCTGCCTACCTTGTCTATTCGATCCATATATACTTAGCTAATTATTATCTTTTATAACTTAAAAATTAAGCCTCAAACAAAATATTGCAAAAACAAAAATCATCTCAAAACTCAATCAGAAATATGCCTTTTCAAAGAAGGATTGTTCTAAATCACCCTTATCGATAGATATATCAATAAATATATCGACAGGCATGAAAATTTATTTATAATCGTTCATCTTTAATAATACCTCGTCAATAGTCGGATCTGCAAAATAAGATTGATGGCAGAGAACAAACGATTCCGGTGCGAGCGTTTAGACGGTTTGGACGTGTGTCGTGGTGTCTCGTAGTGTCTCGTATCTTGTCTCGTGTTGTGTTTGTGAGCTGGTTTATGCTGCATCCCACGCTTCCGCGCCTGCGTGTCCTCGGCTTCCGAGTTCGCATACTTCTTTCCTTCTTTCGTAACCTGATTGCATGGGAACCTAAAAACTATAGAGGGAAGCATAGACTTCGAGGGCGAGGGGTCGCTCCCTCCGGCCCCCCTCCGCGCAAAAACTCTTTAGAAGTCCCTTTCGAGGACTTTGCAGTTTCGAAAACGGTTTTTACACCAATCCTCACGAACCTTTCCCGCCCTCCGCCTCCCGCCAGACCCGCTGGTTCCAGCGGGCTCCCTCGGACGCGCGACCGCGGTCGCGAGCACGGGTAGCCCCGCTCCACCCGCGGCGGCCATGTCACAATCCCCCAACATAATCCTAAGGACAAAATGCCTCTCCTCAATCGCGCCCCTGCAAGTCGTGGAAATATTGCATCATTCCTTTCCCTCTCCGCCCCAATAGACAAAGATCCCTGTGCAAAAGGAAGCGAGTCTCTGAAGACACCGTAACGGATGCATCTTCTGAGGATAACTCAATGGACATCTCTAGCATGACTCTTCCCAGCCTGCCGCCGGCTAACTTCAACAAATACAGCAAGGGCGACATAGTGCTATTCGCACTGCCTGAGCGGTCAAGCCTCGGCCAAGCCTGAGTCTATACCGCTGCATCCACTACAAATCGATAAAGTACTATTATCCTTCATGAGGAGAGGATTCAATCATTGAAATCAAAAAAATAAACGTCCACAAGATTTCGGTAGAATTCCGTTTGCTAAGAATTGCCAACAGCATCTCTAACCATCCTAACCTACAAATAATCTACGAACCTTTATGCTCGCCTCCTTTATACTAGCCTCCTGCATCTCTCGGTACGGAATTATCAAAGTATTCCTACCGACATGCAAATAGAGAAACTCCTAACTCCTAGCCCAAATCACAACATTGCCAAGCTGCCATATCATCAATGCCAATCGCCTTAATAGAAAAGAAGTGAAAGACTCAGGTAACAACCTGACAAGCTTGTCCCATCACGCTCTGTCTGCATTAAATTTGCATTTCAAGATCTAAATTTGTATACATTTACAAGGTTAAATACGATGTATCCTACATTCCAAGAACTTATACTTGTTACAATTTCTTCAGGATCGGCCATGTCCAAGTCCTGTAAAGGAATCGCTCGATGCATCTATTGTGGTGGCCAGAAACACCCAGAAGAAGAAAGATGCTCCGAAAAAAAAATCCGCCACGCTATCTTAACTGCAAAGACTACACAACCTGGCTACTCACCATTCCTGCCGAACATCGATCTGCCCAGATGTTGGCAGTAAAGGAAAACATTCCCCTACGGGATGCCAAAAAAATAATCTCCCTCAAGGTAACAAGTTCGCTCTTATCGGAGAATTCGCAAGAAACTTCCCAACTCTACCTAACTCAGACCATCTTTTAGAATCATCAGCCTACTCCCCCGTTGTCGGCGCAATCAACTACGCGGACGCAACTCGCGCGTTCGCTTACCGACTCACATTAGCGCCTGCGCAGCCTTGACCATCAATCTCAATCTCTCATTCAATGAGCCCTTTCGGCTCGATCGACTGGTTTCACTGCACCGGAGAAATCTCCTCTCCCTCACGTAAAGATAAACCTCCCCCTCCCCAATTCAGCTCCCCCTCTCCCGCTATATCTCCCGCACCCGTTTAATAAAAAAAAAGAGATTCCAACTTCCTCCTGGCCCCCAACGGCAGACAATCTTCCTCCTCCTCTCCCCTCCACACTTCCCTCAAATCTGCCCCCATCTATCACTAAAAATAATGAACATTCTCCTCTCTCTCCCCGTGCCTCCTCTCTCCATCTCTTATCAAAATCTTGATTCTCTATATCGTATTCTTCATCTTCTGCTGACCCGCCTGGATCTCTATGCTCCCCACACTGACTCTTACTTTTATCTTCCCTTCCCTCAATTCCTACACTTCTTCCGCTTTCAGGTTCCTCCTTCCCACGATCACACTAACTCCTCTCTTCTCTCCTCCAACTCCGTTCCATCTAATAATGCATCCTCAATGGCACCTTTTCCATAGCCTCAAGATCATTTTCTGGAATTGCCGCAGACTCCGCGGAAAACTAGAAGACCTCGGCGGGAGAAAATTTTAACATCGCGTGCCTCCAGGAGACATTCATCTCTTTGCCAACTCTCCGCTACGATATACTTGCCTTAGGACGAATGCCTTGAACCCGGATCAACGCGGAATCCTCACTCTAATTGAAAACGGAATAAAATTCTCCCCCTAGATATTTCCAATTTACAACACTCCTCTCTGAAATTCAAATAATCCAAATTTCTCTAGACCAAATTAATTTAATAATAATCAACGTATACAAACGCTCCCACCAACCATCTTCCCTTCCATAAAAATTTTCGACCAGTCTTTTAGCCAAATTTTCAATCTTCATAAGCGATTTCAACGCTTATCCCGCTTGGCACGGCCAACACACTGATCGAGAGGGAGATATAAACTACTGTCTAGAATCCCTGGACTTTAACATCGTAAACACGAAATCACCCACAACTATCTTTCCCCTCCACATGACGTCCTCCATTCTCGACCCGGCAATCTGCTCTGCCACACTGGCACATCTCACTTAATATTCCATACTTCCGGATCCTATTGGCAGTGATCACCTTCCCATCAGCCTAGCTCTCAATATTCTCAATATTCTGAGCAAGCACATCCAAAAATTTGCTTACAAAATCAGGCTCAACTGGAAATCCTCAGGCTTGATCTCCATTCCAAAGAACGCGACCTCACCTACATATATTCCATGCCACCGGTGGAGGTTTACAACCTAATAGATAGATCATTAAAGATCTCATCTCATGCTTCTTTCCAACCAAATCTCGCCCTCCCTGGTTCAGTCAAATATCCCTTCTCCGAAGGAATCCCTCCCCCATGGTGAAACGAGGAGTGCCGTGTCTTCCCGCCGGGCGGTCGCGGATTACTGACATAACCCTTCTTTAGAAAATTTCCTCACTCTAAAGTGCACTTCAGCCCTCTGCAAAAGAACTTTGAGAAAAAAATAAAGCCATGGGGAGAAAAAAATAAAACCATGAAAAACTTTTTGCTCCTCCTTCGACTTAAAAACTTCTTCTCCAAGCTATGGAATCTAGTCAAATCATTCAAGCGATGCCTCTTGTTCACCCCATCCCTCTTAAAACCATTCCTCGACCAACACATCGCACGATTTTCACACTTTGCCTTCCCTCCTGCCTACACCTAGCACTCCCCCCTCCTTTCAAACGCCCTTCCATCCTCCCTGTAACTTCTTTTAGATCCCATCTCCATTACTGAATTCAAGTTCGTAGTACTCAACTCCAAAACCCGCTCTGCTCCAGGGCTGGATCAATTAGACTATCCCATCATCTCCCATCTTTTGGACAGCTTTGTCTCGGCTCTCGTACACTGCTTTAATGACTTCCTAACTAATAACTCTCTCCCCACTTCATAGTGGCTCTCCCTAATAATCCTTATCCCTAAGCCGAGGGGCACGGAGTGCATCCGTCCATCACCCTTCTCTCTTGCTTACTAAAAATCCTAGAGAGAATCATATATTCGAGGCTGCGCTCGCATGTGGAGACAATTTAATGTTACCGAAAACGCAGTTCGGTTTCAGATCCTTCAGATCATGCGCCGACAACTTAACCATCCTCACGACATCCTCTCCGGGTTCATGACGAATGCATTCTCCCCGTGCGTCTTCCTGAACATCACAAGTGCTTTTGACAACGTCATCCTCAACATTCTCTACGAAGATCTTTTAGAATCTTTTAGAATTGGACATCCCATCTCATATTTGCAACTTCATTTATAATCTCACAAATCTCACTTCTAAGGGAAGCCAGGGAATCTCCCATGCGCATTCAAACTCACTCTAGATTCAAACTCACTCCAGTCAGATACATAATAAAAACCTTTGCACTCAGGAAAAACTCCGTTCTGAATAGCTTCATCAAGCTGCATAAGACAATCAACACTTCATCAAAACGCATCTTCCTTTAAGAAATTTACTCTCTTCAAGGCTTATATCATGCACGCCTTTTTCCAGCCATCTACAAATCCACGATACTACTGGAGTTTCTATTCAAGGTTTCAACACAAGGTATCCAATATTCAATATATATATATCATACCTATATTCAATATTCGACAATTAATTCTATATCCACGGAGTCCTCTCCTACTATCATTAATGCAGAATTTAACAATCAAGTTTGACAATACTACTCTTCTTCTTTTTATTTCATCGAGGGCTCGAAGGACTCCTGAACAGGACGTGAGCGTAGGGATATATTCCTCACAAACGGGCATTGCTCTTACTCAAAGGCTTCCCCCAGAGATATCCATTTTCTCGGCTGAGGCATGGGTCATTTTCCAAGCTCTCCTACTTATACGTACACAAGGATCAAAAAAACTTCGTTTTCTAACAGCAAGAGCGTGTTAGAAGCCCTATGCTCACCTAAATATAACAGCAACCTATATTACATAATTCTTTGTATCAAGAAAGCCTATTTTGAAGCGGTAGAAGAAGGATTGGAAATCCACTTGTGCTGGATCCCGGCGCACCGGGGAATCTTTGACAATAAAAAGGCAAATCATTATTCCAAACAAGCGGCACAATCAGTACCAAATACAATCTCAAGTTTCTCTATACCGATCTTTTGAGTCATCCGAACGAAGCATCCCGCCGTAGCTTCTCATCTTATCTCGACTTGCAGGCCTGCTTCAAAGGCACTCAACTCTTCCTCCCTATAATTAACAAACCATGATTCCACAAATATTGGTTTTCACGCAGCTTCATCATGTCCGTAAATCGTATCAGAAGCAACCACTATAATTTAAATTTCAGTCTGACCAGAAAGAATGCACAGCGCTTGTGGAGCTCCAAGACAAAATCAACCATTTAATTTTCTCTGACACTCGCGGGGACGCGAGTCCCCTACTCACATACCTCCAGGAATACTATATCCCCACAAATATCCTACCGCTAATTCGCGACCCTTCCTCCAAATTATGCTGTTTGATCGCTGTTTTCTTTAAAGTCGCCAACTTCTCGCTTTGAGTCCCGTTTGAACCTTCCTCCAAATCATGACCAAATTTTCAATGGTGCTGTCGGCTGAACGTCCCCCCTGTCCATTATTACAGTACCATAGCAACTAATCGAGGAGACCACCCCCTCTTTCTCACTCCGAATTGATTCGTGGCCTGTATTAGCACCGACTGGTAGCCTCGGCCATTTGCAGGAACAAGAAGAAGAAGAAGAAGTAGAGAATAAGATGTAAGTGCTTACATTTACCGTAAACATAAACATAGATTAAGAAAAAACGTATACATAAGAACTTACATAAGAGATACATGTAGGGTTGCCATCCGTTCTCTTTTCCCCGGACACTGTCCTCTTTTTTAGGGCATTCGGGGACGTTCGGGGGGATTTTTTGAAAGCGTCCGGGGTTTCAAGAAATCTTCTAAATATTTTGTTTTGATTCCTCTCGCATTACTCTGCATTACCAAGTAGCACAGATATCACATAAAAGAATTAAAATTTTTTAATTGTAATATCTAATAAAACTTAAACTAAACCTATAAAACTTTTTATTTTAAATCAAAATAGTATTTATTTAGTATTCAGTTAAAATTTTTCTTTGCTCTGAATGCTCATAAACAATTAGATGTAAAATAATGATTCATTTATTGTTCTAATCAATTTTATTAATTTAAGCGCATTTTTGTCCGGGATTGCAATGTTGTGTGGGGTTTTTGGTTTGTAAATCCTAGTTTTGAAAATTTTAATATGGTAATCCTAGTTACACGTATACATGAAAAGTTATTGTATATGTATGTTTTTCTCTGCCTTAATCTATGTTTATGGTAAACGTAAGCGCTTACGTCTCGTTCTCTGCTATCAGCCTAATATGTTAACATAAATTTGATTTGAATTTAGATCGAGAAGATTATAGTTTTTTAGTGATTCAGGCTACCGATGAGATACTATAAAGGTGCCTTTTCATGCTGACGCTCGACAATAGACATTTATATTTATATACTAGACCGCCAACTTGCCTCAAATACATGGTCCCGAAAAATATGTACAACTTTGGCTATATAAATACCCAAATAGTAAAATACCAGCAGTATGCCAGCACTGTACCAGCAGATCTGATCATGACTTCGCAGTAGATTTCAAGCTTCTGGTTTCCAATTAAACTTAGTTTTTTGCGGCACACCTTCTCATCACAGAATAACGACAAAAATGCAATAAAAATCGAGCATTGCTTATTATCTCATTGTGTCAGCAGATATATAGCAGCTATCGTGCAAAGTTTGCCATATCACTGGCAGCAAAAACGCAGCAGAAATCGAGCAGTATGTCGTATGACATGACGGCAAAATTTTGGCAGATATATGGCGCGATCTGCTTTATCAACTGTGCCGGCAGAAACACAGCAGAAATCGAGTATAGTGTGCAGTCGATGTAACGGCAAAAATGCAGCATAAATCGAATAGAGTTTGCTAATATAACTTGTTAGCAAATTAACAATAAAAATCGAACAAATTTTGTTTCGTAAATATTTAAATTGTGACATTGTTATTATTAAAAAATTTTGAAAAATAATGTCTATTATTTTTCTATCTCTTATTTTAGAAAAATAATTTTTAATTACTTTACTAATGATGAAATTAATATATTTTTTACAGCACAAATAAGTTATAGAAAGCTTTTTAAAGATATAAGTTATGATTCTTTTGATTTTCATATAACATATCAAATAATATATCAAACGTTGTACATTTTACATAGGCTGCGTTCCGATATTCACTGCCAGTACTGAAAATTTATAATATACGTGACATGAACTATATATTTTCAGTACTGGCAGTGAATATTGGAACGCAGTTATAATGTACTAGGTATTCCTAGGTACTATACACTTCGTTAACTACCTTGTTGGACAATTATGTCTTGCATCACACAGTGCATACATAAAAATACTATACATATAAATAATAATCTAGCGGTAATTTTCTAATTATTGTGTTTAGTGACGCAGAGTTTTGCACGATTTCTGTTGTCGTTTTGATTTGTCAGCAGATCGCGCCAGCAGATCCTATTCCATTTCTGTTACAATTTTGCCGCCACAATATGACGACATATAGATGTGACATTATGGATGCATTCCTTTATTCACTCCGAATACTATCGGTACTACGAATAGCGTTCCGATGTAGAGACCACTACGAAAATAGTGCCTTGAATTCTATGACGTCATTGATTTTGACGTACTTCTTACTGCAAGCAACGAGGTAAAGCAGTCAGAGCACAAAAATGGCTGCTTCCATGGAGACTGAAATAACCTTGATTGATGCTGAAAAAATAAAGCATATAATATGAAAATAATATAATATAATGAAATTATTATGATATTACATAATATTATGAAATTAGTTATTATTATTAATTTTTTATTATTATTAATTATTTATATATGTTATATATAATGAAATTATATTTTTTTAATATTAGATATGCCAGCCATTATTTCAGTTGGAGCTTCAGAAAATATACTGCAACTGCGTTTCGTTTTATAACCTTGAAGTAGTTAGAAAGCGCACGAAACTAAAACGGAACGATAGCCACAGTACACTTCCATTACATAGCATGAGCATTCGGAATGAATAAAGGAACGCACACTATGTTTGATTTTTGCTGCCTTTTTGTCTACAACAGTTAATAAAGCAAATCGTGCCATATACCTGCTGCAATTTTGCCGTCATATTGTGACGGCACATTGTGTTCGATTTCTGCTGCGTTTCTGCCGACATACTGATAAGGCAGATCGTGCTTTATACTTTTTGAAATTTTGCCGTCACGATGTGATGGCACACTCTGTTTCTGCTGTCAGTATTTGACGTCAGATCGTGTTGCATTCTTGCCGCATTTCGCTGTCACAGTATGAAAAAATTATATGTCAGTATTTTTTTAATACTATTTTTGCAACATGTCTTGACAGCATATCATG